CGCGGCGAGACGGGCCCCGCCCCCCGCTGCGGGCCCCTCCGTGCTGGTGGCCCTGGGCTCTCGGTTCCCGGAAGACATCTTTGAACTAAAATAAGCAGAGCCTTAAGTAATAGCTTCAAACAGTTTCCAGACCTCCATTTTTAACATCAGAGGATAGCTGCTCTCAACCAGACTTTCTTTTCGTTCTTTTTTATCCCAAAGCCCTGAAAACCGAGGACAATAATATCTTCTTTGAAATCTCCTGCTCTCGGCTGGGGGGGTTTTTCCCGTTCTCACCGCTTTATTTATGGCAGACCTTGCAGACTTTCTTTCCCTGCCCATTTCCCCTTCTCGTTTGTCAGCGTCTCCGTGAAGTTTCTGTGACGGAAAGCTGACCGTTGGTGGGCCGCGCTCTGCGCCTTCCCCTGCAGACTCGCACTGACCTTCTGCTTTCTTCCAACATTTAGGTCTCGAAAGCATCTTCTGAGCTCATGAATTACTGCGAGCAACATGCCAGGAATGACCCGCTGCTGGTTGGAGTGCCCGCTTCGGAGAATCCTTTTAAGGACAAAAAGCCTTGCATCATCCTATAGCTTCCCCGGCTCCGGCGCGTGCGATCTCTCAGGCAGGGCACCGTTCTCCATCCACTGAAACCAAGCTACGACCTTACGACTGCGCCGAGGGGTAAACACTAAATGTTGGATTCAAACAGAACTTAAATCTCAAAAAAAACCACACAAAAAAATTTTCTGCTGGTTTAGGGAAGGGTGTCTGCTCCCGGGCAGGTGCCGCATAGAGAGGGGTCAAAATTTAAAAAGAGAAAAAAAAAAAAACCCCAGGGTTGAGGGGTGGGGGGAGGATTTTTAGTAGCGACGTTCAAAATTGGTACCGGGGTGGTGCAGGCAGCGGGGGTTGTGTTGCGTTGGCCACTGGGATGCGAGAGCTGAGTACGGGGACCTCGCCGGCAGCAGCTCTGAGTGGTTCCGATCCAATTAGCTTCCAATTAGCGCATGGTGGCAGGAATTTGCTCTGTTTCTTGAGAGAGAAAAAGGGAGGAGA